TAAAGGAGATACATGAAAGGGTATGTGGCACTCACATAGGTGGGAAAACTTTAAATTGAAAACTTTTCAAGCAAGGATATTATTAGCTCAATATGGTTGAAAATGCGCAAAACTATGTGAAAAAATACCCGACTTGCCAGTTCAATTCAAATGATATACACATGCCAGGTAACTTAGCTTGTTCTAAGATGAACACGTGAGTCTATCTGTGCTTTTACAGTGACACTAGGACTAAAAATGTATCCTCCTTTGGTATAGGAGGAACGTTATCTTCGCTTACCTCACCTTGCCTTTTCGCTCAATGAAGGGTGGGCTTGCTCAGTCCTTTTGTTAAAGGCAAAGGGGGTTGCATGCATCTTTTTTTTTTCGTGGATTATTTCACTAAATAGATAGAAGCCAAACCATTATCCATGACAACAGAGAAAAATGTGGAAGAATTTTTATTCAGCTTGGTGTTGTGTAGGTACAATTATAAAATCAAACTCGCAATGTACTTGACACATATAATTTACCTTGTTACTCAGTCTATTCATTAATATACAAGTTCGGCATTCTGAGCTACAGCTCTTAGGTCATTCTGTGAGCATTACAGGATTGAGCTTGTTCTAACGTCTGTTTACACCTTATAGACAAATCGCCAAGTAGAATCCACCAATAAAATTGTCCTACATGGCCTGAAAATGCACATCATGGCCACCCAAACCAATTAGGTAGATGAGCTAAATAAAGTCCTATAGGCATGTCGTACTGCACCCAGTTTGGCCACTGGAGAAACCCCGTTTTCCTTCTCCTATGGAATTGAAGTAGTCATCCCTGTGGAAATGGGCTAACCAAGCTGGAGAACTACCCAATTTGACGAGTCCACAAACGAGCATCTATAGCACGAAAATATTGATCTCGTTGAGGAAGCAAGAGAGATAGCATGGATCAAAAATGTCATCCATTAGACTCGTATAGCTAAGTTCTATAATAATGGAGTTCGATCTTGTTAGTTTCAAGTTGGCAACCTAGTTATATGCAAAGCTGGGCTCATTAATACTTATTCGCATTAGTGTAAGCTTGCTTCTAATTAGGAAGGCTCATATAAAGTAGTTGCTATCAAATGACCTGGATCTTACTTATTAATGGATTCACAAGGTCGTCAACTACCATTTATGTGGTACATACAAAATCTTAGGAAATATTATAGTTAGCACTTGTTATGAAATTGCGAAATGTACACAATCATTCATCAATTAAAATACTTTGTTTCATTTAAAGGATAATGAAAATTACATCAGTTCGAAATTGAAACAACCAAAAGTTAAACTTAAATACAAAAATGCAAAAGTTAACAGGAAATCTATCCCCTCAATCATCTTTCAAATTCACTAGAATAGACGTAGTATTTTCATGAGTTAGAGAAGGAGCAAGCTAAGGGAATGGGGTGCTAAAGGGTTTAACTTCCACATCCGGCATTTCGGCTACCCAAGCATCAAAACTCGACAAGGAGTCTAGATGCTCCCCTTCTTTAGGAATTGTTGGAGGCCATACAAGCACTCCATCCTTATTCAGCTCACATTTGAGGCGCACTGTCGTATCAATAGGAGGGAGCAAGCTCTTTCCTTGCTCATCATTTCTTCTCCCTCCACAAATGTTAGCTTGCCTATCGGGAAGTCAAGGTGGTGCCATAATACCCTTCCACGAATGTCATCATAAATTTGCGTCGTGGTATTCATTGACGTGATGGCCATGGCGTCTTAGAAGGTGTCAGAGCCAAGCAGCCACTCCATCCCTAAGCTCGAGTAATACTAATGGAACACTGATAAGATACCTTCATTTGGTCTAGGGTTTCCTGGCCATGTGCAAGGCTTTAATTAACCACAGCCACATAAAGCCACAATGTGTTCAACTCGTTTAGAAAACTGTCCCTCTCAACTTTGGTTTATTTCGCGCGCTCCTCAACATGCCCTGCCTCTTCTTTCGCAGCCAAAATTACGCTTTCTTTCTATGATTAGGCCTTCTCTAACTCTTTTCTCAGGTCATTCATTTTGTTGCTCATCTTGTCAGCTTAGCTCTCTACTAACATAGCCCGGTTTGCCATCTCAAAGCTCTATAAACGGCTAACCTCCTCCTCCAAGCTTGCCTTTTCAAAAGTTAACCATTTGTAGTTTTCAGTAAGCTCACGCACCCCTATGCCCTTTGCTTGCACTCAAAAAACGCCACGGCATAACTAAAAGCCTATCATCCAATGCATGTTGTTAACTTTAGCATGAACACGTATGCCATTTAACGCAAACATTTGACAACAATACTTGCATCCATTAATTTCAGCATAGCTGCACGGCCACCATTTTGCTGCACATAACCCTTGGCGCACTGATGGTCCACAGGAAGAATAAAGTTGTGCATACCTTGCAACATTGTGGCATGATAGTTTGCCTTTGTGTAGCTAAAGCCTTCAGGGTATGCAATCTTGGGATCGGACACTTGAGTTTGTGCCAATCCAACTTTGACACCACTCGTCGAGGCAGAAGGCACATCAAGCGAGCATGCAACAACGAGCTAAGTCCCTAAGTTAGATCGTCACAAAATGAGCGATGGCTTGTCATCCTCAGAATCCACATCTTCACGTGCACACCTTCGAGAATTCGAGGGCAAAATCTTAACTTTTTGCTTGGCATGTACCCTCGATGATGAGTTAGAACCTCGCTCCTTGAGAGACTAGCTGTAAGGTGGTTCTGCTTGCCATTCATCAAAATAGGTTTGCCTATGTGAGCTGGCTTCCCCGCGCCTGCTCCTTAACCTCTACGCTCGTTCTCATTGCCTTTCTAACATGCTGCTCATCTCTCTTGCACAAAATAGCACAATTAGACTCGGCTTAGTTGAAGCCTTGAATTTATAAAAGAAATATACCTTTGATATAAAGGTTTGCCATATCCAAAAACCCAAACACCTCTAACTGCTCTAGGGTAACCAAGTTTTCTAATTCTATCAGCCCTTCTTCCCTCACATAGGCCAACAACCTATTCTTCAAATCCATGTCACGAGGTATCAAATCAAAATAGTTCATGTATGTCTAAGGAGTACGCCACTCAATGAGTCAGGCAATGAGCTCGTTACTTATTCTCTCCGTTTGTGCATCATAGACAAAAATGAATTGCCTTTTCCATCTTAATACCTTATTCTTCACATTCTTAAAAAGCATCTTCTCTTTTCTTGAGATGTAGTACCACCTTGTTTGGTTGTTACTCAACCTGCTTTGGAAGAGTGATCTGAGTACTGTCGCCTTTGCAGGAATCCCTAATCTCACACACAGCAACATAAACGCTATGATGAATTTTATACTATTTGGAGTCAGTTGCATTAGTACCAACTAGTACTCTGCCAATACGTCAGAAATCAACCCGAGCAATGGAAACTGTTAGCCAACGTCAAAATGATCCACATATACTAGAATCCACCCAGTTTTTGACACTGAGCACGCCCTCTTGTTCTTCGTACCTGTCCGAACCAATATTGTTCTTAGGATCTGAAATTGTTTTACCATTTCCTTTGACTTCTTAAACCCTTTCACAATGGCTAAGCCATCTGCTACATTATGATGGAGCACTGCTCTGAACCTAAATCTAGAGGGTAAATCTTGTGGTGCCTTGTAGATGTTATCCAACTTTCCAATAATGGGCAAATTCTCCCATTCATCCATCATTGGTACACTTTCCTCTGCACTTGTAAATCTTAGAGCGCCATTGCCGATCCCCCTGTCTTCACCATCACTTGACGTTGCCTCTGAAGATGAACTCTTAGAGCTAGAAGAATGGTGGCTGTCGGAGTCACCATCTACGCTTGAACTGGCGCTACTTTTTGGTGTGATGGTTTTTGGCAAATCTTATAATTATGGGGGTATTATCATCACGATTGGTTCCACGGATACAACACCCTCTTCTTTTTCCCTTCCCTGGTTACCCCGAAATTCTCTAAGTTCTCTAAAAAATTCCCTTTTTACCTTAATCACAAGTTTGACAATGACGCTTTACGTCTTTAAGTTTCAAGGTACCACCATAAGACTTCAACACTTTCACTCTAAAATGGTAAGAAACTGTGCAGAAGAAGAAGAAACAAATAAAATAGCAAAACGGTCATTCCCATTCCCTTTTTCTATGCTGCTTCATGCACTTTTGAATTTCGTGTGCTTGTTTTTGATATAACCAATTGAATTATTCCACATGGCAACCAATTATGGCTAGACGTGTGTAATGTCCGCTGGCTTTAGCTATCATGTCCCTTCAGCTGCTAAACCAGCATTTATTGTAGGGGTGGCAAAGGGATATATCCCACTCTAAATCATATCTCCTCAGAGATCTGCTTTGAATTTCGAATTTTGAAAAATTTATAATGGATGAGCTCGTTCGAGATTAGCTCATATAATCACTTTGAACCATATCTCCTCAGAGATCTATTTTGAATTTCAAATTTTGAAAATTTTACAATGGATGAGCTCATTCGAGATTAGGTTGTCCAAAACTATGTCTCCTCGGAGATTCATTTTGGGTTTAATGAGGTCATTTGGAAAGAAGCATAACATTGAACCATCATTGCTCATACATCAGCTCACCCAAGTCATGTAAATACTATTGAAAACATATTCCAACTTTACAACATCACGGCCCTAGATCGGGTCGTCAAAGTATGAGCTCCCACAAAAATATAAGAGGCGTTGGAAGTTAATTGTCATGATGAGCTCGTCCACTAGTCTTGCCCCTTCGTGATAAATGTTGGGCCGCCAATGTAACTACCCCTATTCGTAAGTCAAACACCAAGGAAGGAGTAATGTTGGAAGTAGGCCCAACACCAACACAATAGGCCCATTTATATGTTTGAGGGCCCAACGTAACCTTAAATGTGGGCACATTCACCTAGGTGTACCCACATGGGTGATGACATGTGGGTTAACTAGATATTTACACGTAGGACCTCATGTCATCAATTGGAGCTATAAATACACCCACCTACCCCCATTGAAGGTATTAACTCCACTATGCTTCTCTCTCCTGTTATTCTTATTCTTGAGAGAGCTCCTCTCTCAAAGACTAGAATATTGCTAACTTGAGCGTTGGAGTGTTATACCCAAGGAAACACCCTCGAGCATTTTAGGTATAGAAGTAGTAGAAAATCTTTACAGTGTAGATTTGTGAAGCTACCCAAACAGTATGTATGAGTACCAGAATTGAGGTGATGAATGACATGGGTAGTAGAGAAGACTCTAGATGCCAAGAAGTCAACGTCCATACTGAAAGGCAATTTTTCTCGGTGAGGAGTGAAAACGGGTAAAGATGATTAAGGGAGAAGCAAGAAGAATCACTCTCGGTTGAAGCTTATCTATATACAACAGAAATACATGCTTTATCGATTTGTCATGTAATGTATTACTCTGTTCTGACACAGCGAAACCTATTCTTATTTCTCACTTATTGGATGACTAACACATTGCGTTCTAATTAGCCAAAAAAGGGGGCAAAAAAGGTTAAATCCCCAATTTGGTCCCTAAATTATTGTACGGACCCCCGATTTGGTCCTTGAATTAAAAAAATTCCTAATTTGGTCTCTAAACTATTGTGCGAACCACTAATTTGGTCCTTACTATTTACCAATTTATACCAAGTTGGTCATTCTATACAAAAACCAACTAACTTGTCTTGTTATTAATGTGACACGTGGTCGTTAAGTTACTGTTTTTCACTGTTAAGTAACGGATACGTCATTTTTTTTTTTTTTTGTACAGAATGACCAACTTGGGGCAAATTGGT